CGTCTCTCAGCCTCTCTCAGACCGCGTTGGCCCCGCCCTTGCAGGCTCTCGAACCGCTCTATCCCCCTGCTCATCTCGGTAGTCAAGCCTCAAAAAGGAGCAGGTGTTCCTGTGTGTTTGGGTGTCTGGTTCTTCACCTTGGCCCTCTGATGCCGAGCATCGACGGTGCTTGTCTAAACCAGTCTTTCTGACTGAGCCTTCAGCTGCCACCTGCCTCCTCTGCCTACATCCTTCTCTGCCCCGGTGGGTGAGGGCTGTGGTTGGGGTTTGCAGAACATTTGGGCCAGGGTGGGTTGTTGAGTTGGTCTAGGAGCCTGACTCCGAAGCTGCGACAGAACAGATAATTCTAAACAAACACAGGCACTTGCTAGGTCCAGCTGAGAACGAAAATCAACCTATACTGCAGTTCCTGGACAAAGCTCCACTCTGGAAGTAGGAGTAGTAAGTCACATGTTTTTGTGTCAACCCCGAAGGCCCACCATCCAGCCAGGACATCTGTGCATGCCAGACATTATGAACTATCCAGTTTTTGTCTTGTTTTAAATTAAAGCTGGCGCATGACCATAACCTTAGCACTCACAGGCAGAGACAGGAGTATGACAAGTTAAGGGTCATCTGCAACAGCCTGGAAAAGTATAATATTAAGAGAGGTGACCCAACCTCAGAAAAGAGAAAGGAAGGAAAGAACCCTGTGCGTTCTCCCACATACATCAAAGTCTGTAATGTATGTGTTTATAATTGTGAGTATAGTCTACAATTTAGAAAGGAGACTAAGAGTAATTTTAGGTGACGATGCTGGATGGAAATGTTGGCAAAAGGACAAATGAATCGTGAAAGAGGGTATAAAACTATTTTCCCCCTATTTCTTTTTTTTGTGGTAGTGGACATTTGAATTCAACTTTCTGGGTATTAAAGTATCAATAAACATTTTTACATTCAAAAAACAAAAACAAAAACAAAGTCCAGCAGTGGTAGCTTACACCTTTAATCCCGGCACTCGGGAGGCAGAGGCAGGCAGATCTCTGTGAGTTGGAGACCAGCCTGGTGTAGGGAGACACCGTAACCACGCCTTCCAAGGGCTGGCTACAGGTGTGCTTAACCACGCCTGTCAGGGCGTGGTCAAGGGTTCTTAAGGTGGAGGTGATACCTGGAAGCTCGCTCTCTCTGGCCTCCCTAGCTTGCTGCCTCTGGGCACTCTCTGGCTTGCGCCTGGCCGGTATTATTTGAATAAAGATATCTTAATCTGCAAGCTCTCATCACAGCCTGGTCTACAAGAGCTAGTTCCAGGACAACCTCCAAAGCCACAGAGAAACCCTGTCTGGAAAACCCAAAACAAAAACAAAACAAGAAAGTAACGCTGGGTCGTGGTGTCTCACGCCTCTAGTCCCAGCACTCGGGGGTAGTCCCAGCACTCGGGAGGCAGAGGCTGGCAGATCTCTGTGAGTTCAAGGCCAGCCTGGTCTACAGGGTGAGTTTCAGGGCAGCCAAGGGTACACAGAGGAACCCTGTCTCAAACCCCAATCCCCAAAAATAGAATAAAAAAGTTCAGGGTCAGTGGAGTGGCTCAGTGTGTGTCTTAGTTACAGGTTTTTGTTTTTTGTTTTTTTTTTGAGACAGAGTTTCTCTGTGTAGCTTTGGATGTTGGGATTAAAGGCATGTGCCACCATGCCTGGCTGTATTTTTCAAACCAAAAATTTTGTTGGAAGATTAGTGGCTGCCTGGGGCTGGGAGTTTGAAGAAGGATCTACTTACTGTAAGTGGATCCAAGGGGTCTTCCTGGGATGATAGATATGACTCAGAATTGTGTTGAGGAGATGCTAACTCAGCAAGTTTACTAGAAACCACCTATTTGTATTTTAAACCAATTTAGTTTTTATTTCGTATGAGTGTAATGGTGTGGGTGGGGCCAGATGAGCATGTTGGGTGTCTACCACGTTGCTCTGCAGGATTCCCTTGAGACAGCGTCTCTCACTGAGCCTGAAGCTAGGCTATTTGGCTAGGCTGCCTATCTGGTCACCAGCACTGGGGTATAGGTAGGCATTGCAGTTTTTACATGGGTGCTAGGACTAATTAAAATTTATGGCATTATTGCAAACAACGCCTAATGACATCTTAATTATTTTGGTTTTTGAGACAGGATCTCAACATGTAGCCTAGGCTGGTCTCAAATGAAGCAGCTGTCCCTCCTCTTTCTCAAGTGCAGGACTATAGATGTACCTCCACACCTGGCACCTGATATTTGTTTTAAAAGTCCCAAGATCCATTTGTTAGTAGAAGGAAGAGCAGCTCATGGGCAAATGGATACATACATATGGTCTACTTCTGCTCCTGTAACAAAGCCAGGGTGCCTCAGGGCCCTGCTCTGACTCAACCCAGGAGGTTCCCCTCTGGCCACGTGTGTCTGCTTTCTTGGATCCAAGGACTGGCAACTTGGTGTGGCCCAGACCTGAGGATATGTCTATTATACTGCACACACCTTTGGACACTGAACCTAAGACCTGTGACCATAGTTACCATGTACCACGGAGGGTCTTACAATTCCCCCCACCTACTATGGCAGCCAGGTACCCTGAACTCCCATGATGCTTTGGGTCACACAGCTGACTTGGGGAAAAGCAGTGGTTCAGGGCCACATGAAGGCACTGTACACAGTGTGCTTTTTCTTTCTGTTAGGGATTTATTAAGGCATTGAGCACAGTGTGAGTTTTAGCCAACTAAAATGAGGGCAAGGGAATAGAGGAGGACCTGAGGGATGTGCTTCTGAAGTTAATGATGCAGAGGAATGGAAACCTCATAAATTAGTAGTGCAGTGCAAGGCTCCTGCCAGTGTAACAGACCCCGAGTTCCTCAGTCCTAAAACCTGAGCTTAGCTTGAAGAACTTCAGAGGGTGCCTAGAAGGTTCTATCCATTGGAGCTCAAGCACACCACCAAGTGACAACTGGTAGTCTGGCCACATGGCTGTAGGTATT